GAAGTAAAACATACTAACCCACAGTCATATTGTAGCAAAGTCGCAACTTTTCACACAAGAAGGACCTCCAGAACCTATTATGGGCAGCCCTTGACTTACAATGTTTCAAGTTGCAACATTTCACACTCACATTTATAAACTTTCAACTTTCTGATGTCAGTTTCGACTCTATAATGCTTGATCCGATGCGATGCCACACCAGCAAACAAATTCACTGCATCACCTATCTCCCTGGAGAACATCTGTCTAAACTTCCTTGGACACTTTCTTTAAGAAAACAGACAAGACTCCAGAAAAACCTGCACCCAAGACTCCCGAGAAGACTCCAGCCAAGAACACTTCAAGAAGTCCAACTAAGAGTCCTTCAAAAAGTCCAGCAAAGTCACCTCAAAGAAGTCCTTCCAAATCAATATGATTGCTATTTACAATAAAAATAGATTAATGTAGCTATGTTACTCATCTATAATTGACTGAGTACAAAATTCTGGGTTCTTTTTGGTGAAAATAGGGTATCACCCCTTGGTTCAGGAACCAATCCTTCATCTATAACATGGTTTCCTATGGGAAAATTGGTTCTGAGTTATGTTTTGACTTAAGACGCGGTTTTCAGGAACCAATTGTGTTGTAAGCCAAGCACTGCCTGTACATAACATGCGTTCAGCTATTGTTGGACTGCTCCATGGAGACCATCTGAGAATTTTGCCATCCTCACTCAGCTATGACATCAGCCAACAATCCCTTTGTTGTACCAAGGCTCTAGCTGGGATGAGGAAAGCCATGCATATGAAGAAGAGGAGGGATCCTGGATCTTTGACTCATCAGGTTCCTCCAGCAACCAACTGAAAGCCAAGTGCCCACAGCCCCTCTTCTGGGGTGTGACCAGTAATCAGCTGACTGCTGATCCTAATCCCAGCACTGCACTGGAGCCAGTATAAAACTCCCAGGCAGTGCTGGGACCTGGAGAGAGAGCTGCCCATGTTAGAGATCACAGTAAACATTACCATGCAACTGCTTAGAACAGGTTTTAACGTTAATACTGCACAAATCTAACTTGTACTAAGTGTCCCATGTGACAAGTCTCCAGGGGTAGGCACCTTGCAGGAAGATGCGTTTGAATAAGGGTAGTTATTAGACTCAACCCAGGAGTAAATGGGCAACATTTTATAACCCATATTATATATGAGAGGAGACTGGATGACCTAAAAGTTCTGTCTGGCTTTAAACATTTACAGTTGTGTGTCTAAAGCATTTTGAAGGTGAGATGTGCCGCCTACAGTTGGTACCAATTATTAATGAACACATGATCATTATTAACAATGGAGTACAGTCCATGGCTAAATCATCTGATAGCAATGAAAAATATATGCTTCAGAAAGTAGAAGGTGAACTACAGTGTGGGTAAAATATCATCTATACCCACAGAAACTGAAACCCCAATTTAATTTCTAGTTCAGTTGCTGCTTTTCCAGTCAATAGTTAAGTCTCCTTTAATGATTATCAATACTGATGCTTAGGGTAATCACCTTGTCAGATACAATTTTTAGAATCTAAGATCAGCTTAACTGTAATGGTGATCATTACTTAGTTGGATTAAAATGCTCTTAATCCAAATATAGTAGTAATTTATAAGACGCTTGGAACATATTTATAGTGCCCCAATGCAACACAATGTGAATAAATTTCTTAAGTGTACAACATACATACAACATCTAAAACTTAATTATTTGGACTGATACTAGCATTCTTTTGGAAATTAATATTCATGAACAATCACTATCCCTATCAAACTTTCTGTAAAAATCATAACACAAACAGCTGGATTTACCTTTCCTTATAATATAGGGACCTATTCATCTTTTGAATGTCAGAATTGGTTGGAAATACTCATGAAGCAGAATTCAAAGGAAAAATACAAGTCATTTTCACAGTAACAAGGACTCTCTGCTTAGAGTCAGTTTCAGGTAATGGAATCCAATCACTTCTAGAAATTCTGCCTACCAGCGTAACCTTAAAAAATGTTCCCAGAGCCCAGCTGCCAGGTTTAGTGAGTTATTTTCCTGTTTACAACAAAACCAAACCAACAGCAAACCCCCCCCAACAAGCCTCCCTGCCCCCCCCCCCCAACAAAATACATCAGACAATGAAATCTGAAGGGGGCACAAGTCTGCTGTAACATTTGCCAATATTTTGTAGACTGGGAAAATTAAGAGGACCTGACAATTTGTTCTACCAAATCAGTACCATTCCTCAGACACAATATTCACCAATTATGATGGCATCCCTGTTCACAGTGCTATTGTTAAGGGTCTGGCAGAGTGTGACTGCTCTCCCAGGTGATTATATTGTAAGTTAAGCGTGAGTTCACTTTGGGCTAAAGACTTTGGCCCAACCCTGCAGCCTCTTACAAACAGCACCAATGACTCCTTCAGTAGAAGATATGTGCAACTGGATGCTGTTTTTCCAGGAGCCATGGGAAGGACTGCGTATATCCTTCCATCTGCCAAAGGATCCACCTGCCATGTAAGACCGACCAAGCAGTATGGAGAAGCCTCTTCAAAAGCTGGGAGACTGGGGTAGGAGTGAGCATAAGATGAAGTCATGAACACAGAGCAAGCCAGGCAGCAGGCCTCCCTCTTCCAGGGCTTTTCTGCCTCTTCACAGCCTGGTGGCTGTGCTGATGGAAATGATTCCTGCTATAGCATGCAGCTTGAAGGTCAGAAATAAAAGTAAACTTTTGAACACAGAGGAAAGATCTTTTTCCCTGCATCCTAAAACGTATGTGTATAGTGAGCTTATTTAAATCTCTCCATCCTCACTCTGGAACTGTAGGTCATATTTTCTGTGACCAACAAATCCCAGAAAACTAGACATACAAAACTTCACCATGGAGAAATACAGTTAACAGATTGCATTTTCCAAATCTGGGTAATAGTTTAAAAAAAACTGCAGGTTCAGATATATGTCCTATTCTTCCTAGGAATTAATTACACAATCACATCAGAAAGAATAGATAGTGCACTAACAATTTTTCTATGCAAAACCAGGCAAATGGGAATTGAGGACTTCATTGGTGCCTCAGGTAAGCTGTGCTTGCTCACAGGGTATCATCAATTACAAGAACATTACCCAGAATACAAACTTGGGACCTGTAGGCCAGGTACAGACGTTCAGTTTCTACCAGGAGAATTGCCATTCTAATAGAACCCAAAAGCATAGACATTCAGGCTCTCTGTCTCAGAACAAAAATGGAAGCTTCAAGAGGAAAATAATCCAACAACAACCAAGGTTACATTGCTCTGGGGACAGTTTCTCTCAGGAGACTAAATGTCTATACACTTCCTCTTAACTCCTCCCTGGTTTTGAGAAGGTGCAGGGAGCAGTTGCTACCCCCTTCCCATAGACTGGAGGTGAGAAGAACAGCAGTTACTGCCCTAACCAGACAGTCCTTTTTTGGGAAAAAGCAGGGAGCTTTACTAGCTCCTCCTGGCTTCCCTTCCTCACTCCTGCTTTCCAACAGAGCAGCAGGGTGGCAATTTAAAGGCCAGCAGCCAGGAGTGTGATTCAGAGAAAGTCTCCCCAGCCTGACTACCTCTTCCCCTTCTGCTCTGCTACCTGCCTGGGCAGCAATTTAAAAGCTGGTGACTGGGAGCTGGGCTTGGGGGACCACACTGCCAGCTGGTGGCTTTCAAATTGCTGTCGTCTTCATATGCCCAGCTTCCAGCCCCGCCGGCTTTTAAATCTTACCAAATCCCCATCCTCATTTCCCCTACATGAGATTCTTGGCTGCAGCAGAAGCTTCAGAATCAACCGCCCTCTTAAAGGCTGACCTGGCCATTTGAGGAGGATGAAGAGCTGGTAGCTTGGGAGTAATAACTAAGCTCTTTAAACTAGACCACTGAATTCTTTCATGTAAAGAATATTAATTTCCAAGCTCTCACATAAGGAAACCAAAAGAAGAAATATTTATACTATTAAAAGTACTTTCTTTTTGCTTACTTTCATGAGTACTAACTATAGGGTTGGATCATATAGTGGCTGATTGAAAGCAGGTGCTGACCAGATTGAGGATAAAGTTCAACAGAAACTACTGCATAGCACAAGTACCTGGGAGTGAGTTAAATGTGGATGACTACTAATAGTTCCTAGCTAGAACCTCTTTTTCATTTTCATCTTTTACTTTGTTGTTATCCATGTCATTGCATTGGTTGTTTTTTTTAATTTGTAAATGCCTCTTAATACATTTTTGTTTGAAGACATCAGTACAGAGAAAATTAGCTTAGTGTACACTAATTAACAATAAGTGTGGGGGGGGGGAGTGGAAATCAACTACAGGCAGGAAATGGATAAATCCTTTAATCCTGAAGACAGTATCAAATTTACAGTCTAAACATGTGGAAAGTAAGCAGACCCCCAACCCCTGCACTGTGACTGCTAAATCTTTCACATAATATCAGAGCTGCTTTTTCCACTAGCCGCAGGTAGGACAGGGAGCAGAGAAACAGATTGGGCCGGGTTTGGGAGTGGATCAGTGGTACTTGAGGCAATGGACTTAATCTGTGGCACACATATCAAAAAAGTTGACCATCATTGGTCTATAGTTTCAAGTACAGCTTGGCAGATGAAACAACAGGTTGCAATCTGTACCCTTCGCCAGTGTGCTAAGGATTTCAGAACAGCAGTAGAGCTGGAGATATTTTGCCCTGCAGGACCTAGATGTGTTGGACAGGCAGAGAACTGAAGACAGGGCTTTTCCCACCATCCTTCCAGCTAGTAGGAAAAAAGTGTTATATTACTTACATTATCTGCAGTAGTCAGTACCTAATTAACTTTTTTTTTTTTTTTTAAAGAACACACCAGAGCATTTTAGCAGGGAATGGGGGATAATGACCATGCAGACTTCTTTCAGTTTGCTCTTTCCTAATCAAAAACTGATGCCAGGAAGCAGATACCAACTAGTCAGGCTTAAGGAAAAGAAAACATAAGAAAAGTTTACCACTCACCAATGGGAAAAGATGAAACAGCAGACAGTAGCTAGATACAAAATGGCTGCTTAAGGTTTGCAGCTGCTTTACTCTGCCACATTTAAAAGACCTCCCCCAGCCCTGAGAATGAATGCTGGGAAAAAGTCTCCTAGAAGAAGGCATCCCTACAGTGAGGAAAGGAAAACCTAAATAACTACACACAGGGTTTCTACAAGAAAAATAATGACACCCCCCCATCCAGTTATTTTATAAAACCTCCTATGAGATTTGTTCAGTAGAAATCATTATATATGAATACAGTAGGCTTTTTATAGCAGTATTGTTAACTTTAGACTGTTTCTTGAGATATATTTCTCTGTTTCATAGTCATTAATTATTACAGTAGGAGAGATGCTCTACTTCATTAAAAAAACCAAACTGTTACACATGTATAGAGGAGTATGTAAGAAAGTAAATAAGGCGCAAAAATAAAGAAAATCCTGCAAAAAAAAATTTTCTGGGAGAATTCTGGGACAAAGAATTATTGTTAATTTGTGGTTCCACAGCCAAGTTCTTTCTGCTCTTGGATTTATTTCAGTGTGAAGTGTGCCAGTATAAGGTATAGTAAAAATGCTACCAGGAATGTATTGTCTCATATCAGGTGTTGGGAAGTTTTTGGGATTTGCATAACTTGGTGCATGTGAACCAGGAACTATTGGCCTCTAGCACAACATTCATCATATAATTATGCAAAGCAGAGAGAGAAATCACATTGTGGTATCTGCTATTTAAACTGGAGTTAGCATCTGCAAGGAAAAGATGGTTAAAAAGGCAAAACTAGAGTAACTTCTGAAATGTTTTGGACTACTATGGATCTCATGATCTTTCTTCAATATTTTCATAAGAGATTAGATGCAGTAAAAGTGGCTAAATAGGAATAAGAGCCAATCAGCAGCAGCCAGTTTCCTATGAACAGGATAAATTGCTTATTCTAGGTTGATTACTTTGATAGCTGGAAATGGGACATGAAAGAGATATGGGAAAAAGCAGTGGTACAGCCTAGTTAGAAATGGTATGCAGTAACCCGAGTAATTCAGTTTTAAGAATCATTTTCTCTGGGCTACTTAGAACTAATTTAGATATGCATGTTCTATAATATGATTTATGATAGGATTGTAAATGTAGTGGAAGCATTTTAGATACTTCTTTTGTTAATGAGGTTTTTGTGACTGAAAAAAATGGAAAACAATGCTATTAATCTAGGATTACTGCAGCATGGGGGAAGAATTTGTGGAATAGAGCAGGGAGATTTTTTTTTCTCACCATACAGAATATGCTAGCTGCATTTGTTCTCTCAGATTTTAGAAACAAAGATTGGAGACAGTGTATATCAGCATCTCAACTCATTCTGAGGCCCACTCTACACATCACAAGTATTGCACAGTTAACTGGTTAATTGCACAATGACCTTGAGGGCACACATGGAAGGTACCCGTCATGCCATAAACAGCTCCAACCAACAATAAATTTAGACCTAAAAAATGTGTACTAGCTTTATAGCCCATTTCTACTGAGCTTTAATTTGCATGGGTAGCAGAGCCCATGACACTGCGAGCTGCTTCATCTGAGATCCCTGTGCCCCAACAAATCTTACTCAACAGGTCAACAATGTTTCTGGTTGCAGTGCCAAAAACACCCCAACCTCAACCCATGCCTTGACTTGGCATGCCAGGGCAGACAGTGGGGGAGCTGCAAGGGGCCTACTTTTCGTTGCTGGTGGCAGGTGCGTGCATGCCTCTGGGCAGACTGCAGGGAAGAGGCCAGGATTGTTCTGCCCTGGCCCCTTCCCCGCTGTGTGCCTGGAGGCACGCATGCAACTGCCACTAGCCACGGAGCCCAGGCTGCTTGCAGCAGGTAGCCAGGCTGGAAACTGCTCCACTGGGCTCCAGAGCCTTGGCCCAGCTTCACAGGTAAGGAGCTGGCGCAACACAACCCCAGTCCCTCCCCTGCCATCCGCCTGGAGGCATATGTGCACCTAGCACTGCCATGGAGCTGGGCCAGGGCTCTGCAGACCTTGGCGTGACAGCTTGCAACTTACTGGCTGCCTGCCACACTGGCTCATGCTCTGGGCAGACACCTGCTACTGGCCATGGAGTCTTGGCTGCCCACAGCAGGCAGCCAGAAGGCTGCAAGCCACTGCACGGAGGTCAGTGGAGCCTCAGCTGGGCTCTTTGTTGGCTTCAGGTGCATCCATGCCTCTGGGTGGATGGTGGGGCAAGGGGAGGGGCTGCACTGCTCTGGCACTTCCCTGCTGTGTGCTCCAAGGTGCATACACAGCTGCCACTGGCCACAGAGCAAGGCCGGGGCTCTGGGGCCCTAGTGCACTGGTTGCAGCCTCCCAGCTGCCTGTGCCAGCGCCCGTACTGCTTGTAGCAGGACTTGCAGTTTCCTTGCTACCTACTGCAAGCAGCTTGGGCTTCGTGGCCAGCAGCAAACGCCCAGAGCCTGGTCTGGCTGTGGCATACCAAGCAAAATGGCCTCACATGCCATGCTCTGGTTTACTGATGTCGCACACAGCTTCTTGCAGAAGGCTTAGAAGCACAGGCTAAACACTTACGAGACACTTATTTGGATAATCTTCTTATATATTTCTTAGCTGTTGTGGTAACTGTTAAGTCATAAGCATAAACCTGAGAATTACTGCCGAGTACGAAAAGGTAGTTAGTAATATTGGCTGGTCAATAATATTAAGTATTTCACCAAAATAGAACTGTTGCTGTTTCCTGCCATTTTGCGACACGCACATTACACACACAATATTACATACGTATAACACTGCACAACATAACATTATCATGCAATCCCCAGTCTGAGGTTCTAGTCATTGTTCTGTAAGATATGATTCACTCTAACAAGCTGATAGCATACAAAGTCCACTGACATCTTGAGAAGTAGGAATTCAGTTTGTTTTAATTTTCAATATTGACTAGACACTAATGTAACAACTATTGTTTATTCTTTATTATCTGTTTTTGTCAGTAGTAGTTAAAGTTCTCTAAAGGAAGAGTTACAGGAAATTTTTCCTTCAGAAAAAGAAATTAAGTTTAGAAAATTTGGTTGTAAAAGTACAAAAATTAGCAGGGGAAATCAGGAGTTGGAAAGTAAGCTGTTACTTTAGCATCCATTATTGCAACTAGATTTCAAATTAAAATCTTGTTTAACATAATCATAATTTTAAAAAAGGAAAATGGTGAATAGCCAGATTATGCAAAAGATATGATATGCTCTGATTTAATATTTTAAGTGGTGAATTTTTTTTTGCAATCTTATAACAGTTAATTCAAGAGAAATTAATTACATCTGTTTTGCAAAGAACGATCAGCAAGCCACACTTCCATAGACTATTTTGTTTATAGTTAGTTCATAGGGCTGTGTGAAGTTTTGGGGGCTGATACGATTCGGAGGACATTTGGCCTAATTTGGTGGCCGAATCTCCAAATGGGAACTGAATCAGGAGCCCAATTAAAAGGTCCAAATTGATTCAGAAAAGATTCTGAGAGCTCCAGCAATTCGGGCAGTCCTCACTCGCTGCAGCAGGGAGCTAGACCCAGACTCCATGCTGGTAAGTAGGGAGGGATGACTGGAGGAGGGGGGAGGAGACCATTGGGGAACCACTGCCAGGCCCCATCCCTTGCCTGCTCCCCCAGCCCCGAGTGGGGGCTTTTATTTATTTATTTATTTATTTTTTTTTAAAAGGACCAGGGGCTGGGGCAGGTGGGGCAGCCATGTGGGGGCTGGGGAAGTGGATGGGGATCAGGGGACTCATGGCAGAGCCCCCATATAGCACGGGGCAGCAGGGATTCCCCCCACCACCACCAGGCAGTGGCTGGTGAATAGGGGCTTTTTTAAAAAAAAAAAAAAAAAAAAGAGCTGGGAGAGCAGGCAGGGTAGCCATTGAGAGTGGGTAGGGCTGATTCAGCAATTTGTCTGATTTTGGTGGTGGCCAAATCTCTAAATCAGATTCAGCTGAATTGATTCAGGACAGTGATTCGAATCACCGAATCGAATCACTGTCCCCTGAATTGGCTGATTCCAAATCTGAAGTGAATACTAGCCACTTCACATAGGCCTATTGGTTCATGTATAGCTGAAATATAAAAACTGAAAGGGAAATATATTACTCGAAGCATATATTTGCAGACGGTAGGTAAAATGCTGCACGGAGACTTTAACTTCTAACGATAACATTTATAATGCACACATAAAAAATGCTTGATGAGGGAGGGAGGTTGGGCAAAATGAAGCTACGTAGTAGATGACTGATGTACAGTAATTCTAATAAAGTTCCATCTAATATGTACTGTGCAGATATTGGTGTTGGCATTATTTTCATTACCAGTAAGAAGAGAACAATATGTAGAATTCTATACTAAGTTATGTGCAAGTCTTCCTTTTATTTCAAAGCTAATTGCACTTCCACATCCATTTACCATATTTACTTGGATACAAGAAATTTTGAATTCAAGACAACTCCCAAATAATTAGTTTCTAGAATGAAAAATAAGTTTGTATAGAATTTAATTATTAGAGGATTAGGTCTTAAATTCATCCCCCCTACAGCCAGGGGGGCCATTCCCCATTGCCCCCCTTCCTTGTACCCTACCCTTTGTCCCTGTGCCTGCCCAACCTGCCACTTGCAACTTTCCCCTGTGATCCCTGTGCCTGTCCCCCACCCCCTGTCTGCCCCTCCCATCTCTTATGTAACCCCCTTGTTACATAAGCAGCTGTTCTGAGGCTCCTCTGGCTCTGGGGCAGTCAGTGGCAGTGTCAGCCCTGGCCATAGCCAAGTCCCCCCAGCCAGGCAGGAGGAGTGGCAGCAGCTTTGAGCTGGAGCTGAAGGTAGGAACTGGGCAGGGAGGGAGTGAAATGGCAGGTGGAGGCAGGCAGTGGGGGGCAGGCTGCAAGGACTCCCCTATGCTACCCCCCCCCAACAGTGTGGTCCCCCACATTTGCCCCCACCCTCACCACAAAGGCTCTCCTGTGTTGCCCTGCTGCAAACCCTCTCACATGCCACGCC